ATTACAGATTTAGCTTTGAAAGGGTCTACAATGAGTTATACATTGTCTCCAAATCTTACATTCAGACCTATAGAAACTTACAGCAGCATCACACAGAACCTCTTCCAGTTCAAGAAGAAAGAATGTGTTGCTAACCTTTATGTAAATCTCTTTCATCTATTTTTTAAGTGCAAAATACAGTGGCAGAGGAAAACACAATATTTTTCCCAAAACCATGAGAAACAAGAAGTAATTTTTTCCCTTTACCCAAGCATTCAGATTTTGATGTACCTTCCTTTTAAAGAGTGTTGAGCTTAGCAAAGCTGTAATGTACAATGTCAAAAAGCTCGGTCACAGATTACACGGATTGTCTGCAGTGAGAGTACAAGAATGATTTCTAAAGTGTATAGCAAGAGCACTGCCATTGTCTTGACCTTTTTTCTATGTCTGCTGAACAACTGTATTTTATGCATAGAATTCTCTCCAGTTTCCTGAACTACTTCTAGTCTTTATACATATTGAGAGATGGAGAAGAAATCCCACAATAGAAACACAGAGAAAAGAAATTTGCATGTATATTACTTTAAACCATTTTAGCTTGACCTTCCATGAAGAATGGTTTAAAGGATGAATGCTTTGAGTGTGAATGCAAAGGTTAATTGTCTTTATTGAGTATTGCAGAAAGGACCCTAGTAAACCATGAAGGTTTCTTGGAGGGACGTACTAAAGAAGGATAGGAGAGAAAAGGTTTTGCATTAAAAAGACAAATCCCTTAATATCCACACTAAGATGCCCATGTCCCAAGCAGAAGACTTTAATGAATGAAACAGACTTTCATAAGAGGTTGTTGAGTATTATGGAGTACTACACTTTCTATTATGGAGTGACTGACTTTAAACAGAAATAAAACCACCTACCTAAACTCATCAAAAGTCCTCCCACACCACACCAAGCACATTAACTTCTCTGGCTCCTTCTTTTAAAACATAAATAAATAATAAAAATTACAGAATTCCCCAGGGTATTAGTTCTCCTGTTAACTTAAATACTGAAGTGATTTACATGTTTAAGACCATAAAAGTACCCCTTGCTTAAAATTTTGTGGTTTCCTTGTTTGAATTTCTTTATCAGCTATTTTACAAATTATATAAATTACATTGGAAGACTATTGTCACAAAAACCTCTACCATGACCAGTTTCATGCTACGTTATGTCAGTAGTTTTATATCACCAGGAAATGTAAAACTGTAAACAGACTATAAATATTCTCTCATGAGCTGAATAAAAAAAATCAGCTAATATTTACAAGATGATTCAGAAATAAAGTCTTTAATTCTTTTGCATACTAAAAGTAGCAATTTCAAGACACTTAAGCACACAATTAATCAAACATTTTGGGATTTTAATGAAGAATTCTCACTGAACCAGTGCCTTCAAGTACTAAATTACTTCCAGGATGTTTTTAATCCGTCATATTAATAATCTCACTGTTATCATACATTCAATTACAAACCAACTTTCTTCCAGAGAAGTATCACACTTTTTGTGTGGTTTACACACTACAAGGAATACTATCTCCCTCTAGGACTATACACAAATTGTGGTTGCTAAACAAACATAAGAGGTGTTATGATGTCCCAGTCATGATACACATTAGAGGTATTATATGTCAAATGAATGACCAAATGTGAAGGACAAAATCTGTAATAATCCATCCAATGTCAATGCAAATCACAAGTCAACAGGGTCCAGCAAACACAAATGCTTCCTAACTCTTCTCTGCAAATGATGTTCAATTTCAAGCAATTACATGCCTCAACATAGTTTTTAAATACACTAAATGCAAAATAAGTTAATTCATCATCTTTTATATACATATACAAACTACAGAGTCCTATAAAACTCATCATATTCATACAACCACACAGTTTAATGGATGTTCAAAACGTAGGTAAAGACTTGCATAGACATTTGGTAACAGAAAGCCCTTCACAACACTAAACCAAATACTACAATGCAACTATGACAGAATTATTTAGTTTGTGTACTACTCCTTTAAAACAAAAACCCCACAGGCCTGTGAGTTAAAAAGCCAGAGGAAAGTTCTTGTATGCATCTGGTAGAGATGAAACAGATCAAAGGAAAACCAGAACAGCTCAAAACCTCTGGAAGAGCAGTCTCTGTTTTCCATACTGATTACTTTCTTCAGGGTTTCATGCACGGACTAGTAAGGGAAAACACACCTATCTCCATCAGCAGGTGTTGCACACATGATACTTGTCGAGCTTTTCACAAAATCACCTTTCAAAATGTCTATTATCAACAAAAATAATTCAGAATTCATTCCAATCAGTGCAATAAATAACACAAAGATTTTGAATGATTTGAGGTGTATAGAAGCTTTATATATAACATATGTTTTCAGTGTCATTATTACTATTTTCTCTAGAGACTACACATTTGTTTTTTATTGGTAGGGAAGTTGTCAGTATTTTTTTTTTTTATGCTTACTGGCATATATTTGTCATAGCAGAGGAAATCCAGTACCAACGAAGAGAGTATCCAGCCTGTCTCCAAAATTCTTGTCAAGCTCTGCTGCGACAAGCTGCTACCATATTTGACATTCCTGACATGAGCCCTCCACGCAGCGTGGTGTGGGAGAGAATTCCCTCGGCATCTCAGGACTCCTGGCTGCCTCTTATCTGTGTGCCCTGACTGTCCTTTTGGCCTGGCAAGGAGCTGTCTCGGCCCAGGAGAAAAGCAGTGGAGCACTTCACCCCTCCTTGAAACTACCCAGAAACTGATGAAAGCTTTCACGACTTGGAGCAGAGTGGGAGATGCTCTTTACTATGCCTAATTACAGCAAGGTCACCAGATGGGAACTTCCCAGACCCGCCAAGAGCTTTACCCCCCCACCTTGCATTCCTGCTGCTGGCAGAGCGGCTGAACGGCTGGCACTGAGAGGAAAGCCCAGTTTCCCGGAGGCCTCGAGGTGCAGAGCCGCTGCACCCCGGGGCTCGGCACGCCCACTGCTGCCGGCGGGAGCTGCTCCCGGCGGCGCGGGGCTGGCGGCCGGGCCCGCACCACCCCCTGCCGGCCGCGCGGGGCGCCTCCCGCTCCGGCGGCGTCCTGCCGGCGCCTGGGAGCTCTCCCGGCGGCCGCACGTCAATAAAACACCCGGGAAAGCCAGGAAGTGCATCGTGCCAAAGCGGCTGGTCCCAGAGAGCTGCCCAGACCCTGAGAGCATCTGCAGAAATGCCTCCTTTGGAAGCGCTTCTCATCCTTATGAGCGGAAGAGTGCCGGTGCTTACTTCTCAGCTGCTTCCTTGCTCAAGGTCGCTCAGCCTGCACACCCTGCAACACGCGTCGTAACTGCAGCGCAGATAACTACAGGATAACTGGAAAACCCCTGCTCTTCAGCCTCGGCTGGATGCTCTGCTCACAGCGGAACGTGCCTCAGGTTTTACGTACAATTCCTGCGAAGTGCTGCCCTCTTGTAGCGTACAGATATTTTCTTTAAAGACCCCTTTAAAAATAATCCAGTACAATAAAACTTTTCTCCCGCTTAATCGGAATACTCGTCTTTTGCCTTTCACGCAGCTGTGAATTTCACAGGATTCACAGCTGACTGTGAAGGCTGAGGCAGCAGGGAGAGGACTCCCGGGCAGCCCAGGCAGGCAGCGTTTGCGGCGGGGAAGCCCTGGAAGCGCTGTGACGATCAGCGGTTCTCAAGCAAATCGTTTTATGGGCTTTCCTCCCCTGCGCTTCCGTCACCTCAAATACTCAAACAGCGCTGCAGTCCTGGGGTGCCTTTCCCTGGGAAGATTAGTAGGAGTTCCGAGCAAGGGGGGAGGGGGGTGTGAATACATTTATTCAGTACTTTTCAGATCTTGTTTATAGGAAAAGGAAAGGAGCTCCCAGCAGCACTTCAGCGCTCGCCAGTTTACCTTCCCAAAGGCGAGCCCTTCTCCACGGCCGCGGGGAAGCCGGCGCCCTGAGGGGGTGTCCCGCGGATGGCCGTGCGTGAGGCGGCGAAGGAAGACTCTCTTCCCCTGCCCCTGTCATCGCTCCTTCTGCGCTACCTCCGCCGCCACCGCGGCGAGGTGTATGTGTGTCCCGCCCCTCCGGCACGGCCGGCGTTTCACTCCGGCTCGGCGGCCCCTCGGAGCTCGCCCCATGGGCCCGCTCCCTCTCTGCTGCCTTCCTGAGCCAGCCACCCTCTTTACCGCGTATAGATTGATAGAGAGATTTATAATATTATCACTAGTATCATGGTGAGATGATGATGATGACTTGAGCCAAATTCCGCTCAGGGCCGGGCGGGTTGGCAGCAGGTGTAGGAAGGCTCTGTCTCCGCAAAGGAGCATGCTCAACGCTCTCAGGCATGCTCCTTCAGCGAGGAGGGAGCCAGAGCTGGAACGGGGGGCGCGGGGGGAACAATCCTCCCAGCTCGCACCGTCCTAATGCAAAGTTTGATTGTACCAGCGGCCCCCGGGCCGCGGCCCAGCGGCTCGGCATCCCACTGGCGCTGCCTCAGCTTCGCTCGGCTGAGGGAACCGGACGCCGCGCGGGGGGCGAGTCGAGAGGGGGGGTGGAGGGGTGGGGAAGGGTTTCCCCGTCGCTCCCGGCGGCAAGGGGAGGAGAAAGAGGAAGAAGAGGAGATGCCCAGGCCAGAATGGCTTCGGAGCCAACTTCTGCCGGGAAAGGCGCGGGTCAGTTGCCGCTTCCTCCCAGCTGTCCCCAGTGCTCATGCAAAGCCGAGAGCACACGGGCAGTACCACCAGCACTACCATCATCACCACCACTATTATTATTAATACTGCCATGACGATGCTGTGGGCCGCGCCGGCGGAAGGGAAGCCGCGCTCGGCTGGGGCAGCCGCCCTCCCGCGCTTCCCCCGCCGTGCGCGCCCCCCGCCCGGGCTGCGGGAGCCCCGCGCTGCGCCCCGCGCGGCCCCCGCGGCCCAGGGGCAGCGGGGATCCAACCCTGCCACAGCGACGGCACCCGGCGGGTCGCCTACCTTGAGCTCCTCCGTGTCCAGGTTAGCTGATCTGTCCATAGAGCGAAACTGAACGGAGCGGACTGGAAACTACGGAAGTTGTGCCAAAAAATGAAGAGGAACAAAGAGGGGGGGAGGATAAAAAAGGGGGAGGAGGGGGGAAATCTAGTCTGTCAGTTTCCAGCCTAAACTCAGCCTTGTCCTCCAAACCGTGGCTGCTCCCCTCAGTCTCATTCTCCGCGATCACGCCTCCACCGGTTTAAATAAATAAATAAATAAATAAATAAATAAATAAAATATTTCACTTTTTTTAAAAAAAATAACTCCCTTAAGGATTAAAGCGACAGGTGATCCTTCCCTGGTGAAAGAGATTCGCGTCCTCTGGCAATGAAAGGAGACGGCAAAAAAAAAAAATCCACTCAGTTTAAAGATTATTTTTTTCCTTCTGCAATAAGCTCAGAAGCCGGCGAATCGCTGTATCCCGAGGAAAAAATCCTTCTTCCCTGGACAGCATCATGCAGCAAATTTCAAGCAAATGTGTTCAAACTGAAGAGAACAGTGTATGATAAAAGCCTTTCTCCGTCATGCTACCAGAGTAGTCTGGTAGCTAATTTAGCACCCTGTGAGCGCAAGACATTAGCGATGAACAATTTTGCTGGCAAGATAACAAAATCCCCCCAAGTCCTGCATAGGCTCAAAAATTGTTTTGCAGCTAAAGATAGTCTATAGTAATAACAATAGTAAAGTATATATACACACATATATATATAATAAAAGAAAGTCTGTACGGTATGGTCTTCTTTGAAGGTTATGCTGGAAGAGTTGGGAGGAAAACAGGAGGTGGATCTCTTGCAGAAGAGAAGGGAGAGAGAGGCAGAGATTTCCCTCTCCGTCCCTGTTTTACTGTCCTTCACCGCCAGGTGACTGACTTCCCTCCTCTCGGCTCGCGCGGGGGGATTTCTCCAGCTCTGGAGCAGCAGCGTTTCCTCCCCGAGCAGCCCCGGCTGGCAGCGCCGCCCTCCCCGCTCCCCGCAGCCCCTCCGCCTCCTCCGGCCGCTGCCGCACGATCCCAAGGGCTCCTCTCGCTGCTCCCCGGGGCTCTGAATAGCAGACGCAGCGGTCAGTTTAAAAACCAGTCCTGCTTTGTGTCTGTTTTGTAATTGCTTTGTGTGATACTCATGTATGGTTCCATATAAAAATGCCTGTATATATTTATATCTGCAGGTGTGTCTAAATTAATAAGGTGGTGTGGAACTTCTCAGTCTCTGGCTTGTAGTGTGCAGTTTTGTGCAGCTGTTGAGTGTATCATTGATGGGCTGCAGCTGTGATGGAGCAGTCTTTCTGATAGCACATGGATTAAGTCTGAGACTCTCTCAGGGTGTTACTTTTACTAATCCCCTTTTCCAAAGGATTCACAGTCTTCTAGTTCTCAGATCACTCTAAAGAGAACCAAAACTAGATTTTAAAATTCATATTCCTCCCCGCCAAGATTTTATCACAGTCCTTTTTCTTAAATCTGTCACTTGCAGTTTTGGAGAAGATTTTTGTGATTTTTGGCTTCTTGCTATCAGTCTTTTGGGGGCCTTATTTATGAACTCCATTAATGGCAAGTTCAGAACTATCACTTTCTAGAATTATCCCCTGCTTTATACAGTGCTTTAAATAGGATTAATACTCCTGATAATTCAACTCAAGTAAGCTAACTTAATAGCTCAACGTGTACACTCTGTTTCCAGTTCAATATAGATTTGTTTGCAGCTTCCACCACTTCAAGGTTAGTATAAGCTTAAGCCCTGGGTGATGGCCAGTGGTAGCTATTTCTGAAGACTGGATATAGCCCTCATTTTCTGGACAACTACAGATGTGAGGCAGATGCAGGCGAATGGCATTTCTCCTTTTTTGCACAAATTATACATGGCTTCTAGGTTCATTGTGAATGCATTGTAAATATCGTTATTATCCTTAATCTAGAATTGCAATTTGTAAAGATTGAGCACTTGGTCTGGTGTTCCCATGTAAACCAAAATGTTTATGTCCAAATAAAAGATTGCCAAAGTAGTCACTGAAGCGGCTGTAAATATATATATATATATATATATATATATATATATAAATGCTTTATATATAACTTTATATAAATTTAGGAGTGTTTTCACCTAAAGGAAAAATACCACTATATCCACCCACTCCCCAAATAAGAAACCTGGAGGGACCTCTGTAAAGAAACCATGTTGGAGAAAGATCTCTCAGAAGACACTTCAAAGTCTCAAAATGTGTCAATAAGCGGGATGGGTACAGGAAAGGACTGCCCCAGTGTGTGAAACCAACCAGGGCACACATCGTGAGAGCACCTTGGTGCCCTGACTGGTACCACTGGGTAGCCAGAAGACTCCTGAGCCTCTCCCTTAATACATGCCTGTTTGCATGGCACTTAACAGGTCAACTAGTAGCTGCACAAAATGCAAATTTATAAAGACAGAAAGCCAAAGACCTGCAGTACCTTGATCTTCTGCTGACTTGTTGCTGCTACACTATGGAATTTCTTGGATCTAGCACTCCTCAGTTTGTTTTGATATTCGCACAAAATCTGTGGCAATGTGATGTATTTGGAATCCTCTGCTGAATTTGGCTGATGTCAGTCAGGAGTTCAGTGAAAAGACAGGGGAAATTGACAGGGCACTCATATAAGCCTAACTTCCTTGTAAACAAGACAAATTTATTTTGACAGTCCCTTGAATAATACTTTAAAATATGTTTCACTCCTCATAGTTAATATAGCCTAACGAGTGACTTTAAAAGTCTGGGTTTATTGCTGCTAAGTCAGGCATGCCAAACTTGATTAATACCAAACTTCTAGTTCCTTCAGATATCTTAGGTTTTTATCTTGTGTATAATCTGTAAGACATTTCTTTTCTTGTGGCAGGGCTCTAATTCACAAGACAGGGCTGGCATTTTCATCCTCCTTATTCAAGCATGGCCCTATGTCTTAGTTGTTGCACATGGTGTAGAATTGTTATTTTTATTAAAGAATGCTTTCTGTTTCATTCAGCACTGTTAAAAACTGTTTTCAACATAAGTGTCAACACAAAATTTTGCAAACTTAATTACAGGGAAAAACTGTAACCAAGCCAAAGGCTAGATCCCAAAAGGAACCAGAAAATCTTTAAGCAAATCAGAACCTGAGCTCTGAAAATGATGCCTTAACCTGGTGCAGATGAGTGTCTGGAAATAAAAACTCAAAGAAAGCAGCAGTCTGCAAACTCACCAAGCAGTGACTTTGACCCTTGATTCGGCAGGTCAACGTGCAGTAGACTAGTGAAGGAATTACATTATTTTGTGTAAATCCAGTACCTTAGCTACTATTTCACTTCTATTCCTGCATTCATCTGATATTTTTTCTAGTTTTTGGGGTTTTTTCCTGCTAATAAGTCATTGTGAAGATGTCATTCACTGCCTAGTCCTATTCTTTCCTGTCCCCAGCCGTTCTGGTAAAAGGCATTTCTGGTAAGCATAATTAAATATTCAATTAAATATAATTAAAGATTGTGTTGTCTGGATATAATTAAAGGGTGTATGGCAGAAGAGTTCTTGAAGAATAAGCATCCTTAAAAACTGACTGCTTAACTTTGGTGTACTACGCTTAGGTTAAGGTCAGGTTAAGGTTAAGTGTCAGTTATTTTTTGGTGTAAGTCTTCTAGACTGGTATTTTTTTTTTCTTTTAATTAGTCTAGAAGGACCTGTTTTCTCCTGATTTGCATTGTACATATTTTTTAGTAGAGTTGATTCTGAAATACAAGGGCAGGATAGAGACCATATGGTCTTCACAATGGTCACTCAGATCAGAGCAGCATTTTATTCAATAAGGAAAAGTTCCCTCCCCAACCTAAAAGAATAAAATTCTGCAGTCTTTTAAGACTGCATGCAAACAACAGGAGAGCATATTTTCCTAAATATGCAATAGCATTTTGATAATCACAAGGTGTTAGCAAGCTAATGTAGAGATTGCAGCCAACTCCCCCTGTGGTACATCCAAACACCGAGCAACTGCAGTTCTGTGTAGGGAGCAGTGAGAAAGCATAGCTTTTCAGCAAGGACTCATGCTTTTTTAAACAGGCACAGTAGTTTCAGTACTAGATAGCTATCATGATTTCTTTCTCTTTCCAGAGGTGGAGAAATGAGCACCATGATGTCCCAAACAAAATGGCATAGAGTGCTTTGTCTTCCCATGAGCACATCTATCTTATCCATGGGAGACACTTTTTCTCAAATAGAGGATTTTCCAAGACAGGGTCGCCTAGAAGATCATCTTATGTGGGTTTTTCTTCTCTAGGTACGGATAACTCACTGGGTTGCTTTGAGCTCTCAGCCCATGTGGGAAGATAAACACCACCTCTTTCAAACAAGTGTGAATCATCTTGGGAAGTGACTGTTTCCTTCTGACTGCACAGGAGTTCCTTAGATGACCGAATCCAGGACCACATACTCAGTAACTTAATACAAATACAGTTGAACTAAAGCTGGAGTTACCCATATGCATATTAAAAAAAAAAAAGTTGCAAATCATTACGAAACCATGGAAAATGATGGAATCTATCATAGTGAAACCACATGTGCTGGTCTTTCTCATTTCTCATAATTTTAAAACGAGAGGACAATTTTCCTAATGTACTGTTAGTAAGAATGGAAAACTAATTCAAAATCTAATGCAATTCTTTTGATACATTTCATAGGTATTTTGTATTTCAAAGAAACCGAAACCCACCAAAACTGCTAAACTCACAAACCATAATTTCAGGCTAGGGATATAGATTGAGCATCAAATATGAGAACAGATGAGTAGTAATATAGTTTTTAAACATAATGACTAAATTTTTCCCAAGTTATAAGAGAAATCTGTATACCTGAAAATGCTTTTTTGTGCTATTCTACAATATAATTTTTTTTTTTTTCAATAATGAATGTCAGGCTAACACAGGTATATGTATGTTACATTATAGTTCCCTCTCAGGAAGAGTAGTTAGAGTAATGTAAAACAATTGGGCTGAAGGTACC